CGTTTTACAAACGCCGGACCCTCAGGAACAACAAATTTTGACGAGTTTTCGGCCAAAAAACTCGGTTTCAATTTCGTTCAAAAAAATAAAAGATGTCCATTTTGACGAAATGGTCGTTCTCTCTCTCTCTCTCTCTCTCTCTCTCTCTCTCTCTCTCTCTCTCTCTCTCTCTCTCTCTCTTGTGTGTGAGAGCACGCGTGGCTCCCGTCCGCCTGCGCAACCCCCCGCCAACGCTCCACCACGACAAAAAGCTTAGGAACAACCACCTCTTTCTGTGGGTGTGTGGGTGTGTGGGTGTGGGTGTGTGTGTCCTCGTATGTGTGTGTGTGCAGAGAGAGAGAGAGAAACAGGAAGGATGCTACGTGTGTGTGTGTGTGTGTGTGTGTTGGTGTGTAGAACGGGTAGAGTAGTAGCTTAGAGTAGCACGAAGTTGCGTAGAGTAGCCCAGAGTCCAGTTCACAATGTCGTCGAGTAAATTAGAGTGTCGAAAATAACTTCTAGCATAGAGTAGCGCAGGCGTCGACTCTAACTCGGCGACTGTCCGTAGCAAACCGCCGTCCAGTAGACCTGCCCTCAATTCGGCAGTGTGCGTGCCCCAAAAATTCGTTACTATACGTTGTAGCGACACTGGACTGGTACCGCGTCATGCGCAACCCCGGTACCGCGTGCTGTAGGGTTGGTAACACGCTCCGGTACCGGCTCTGGCGTGCGGACCGGTACAACGCGTGGTAATGGCACTGGCCACGGGATCGGTACCGGCCCTGACGCGGAGCCGCAACGGTTCAACTTCTAAGAGCAAACAATCAGCAGACGATCGGGACCGTCGCAGAGTGTAAAATCGCAGGGCCCCGATTGTCTGCTTGTCACAGGCCGAAAATTAGCGATAGTTATATATGTAGGGATACTTGTTCTGCGTTCTGCCGTTGTTTGAGCAAAAGAAGTTTTCCATACCCATTCAGCTGGGTTGAAATCAAGGTCTTGCAACTCCTTTGTGGGATTGAAGATTCTATACTCGTCATCTTCAATCACTCTCACTTTCTTCACTGCCGATCTCCTGGCCATTACTTTAGCTTCACTTATCTTAGCGACGACGCTAATAGTCTTTCCCGGTTGCTGTATGTTATGAATTGACCACAACGCCCATTCTCCTGCCGGACCTGTGCGCTAGACGAAAAATAGGGCCACTGTCGGTATAGCTTCCCATCTTCCCGTAGCCCACTCTCCTGCTGTCCATTTGGTGGGGGCCTGTAGAATCTGCAACCATTCTCGGGGAATTCATTGAAGGAGGGTCGTGAGATTATCAGCAGATTATGGCAACCCTTGAGCGTATCCCGGAGTTCCGGACATGTTTTCCATCGGTTGTGCTGGATGTTCCAAATGTGACTGATTTTCCAGATGCCCTTCTCCACCCACTTAATCCAGCGTCCATCTTGGGTTGTTAACGTCCAGGGTTTATCAACTTGATTTTTTATCCATTGGTTGCAGAAGAGTGGTTGCCTTAACACTTCTTCCCTATTTGTTGGTCGTCGCGTCTTAGCTGGGAAGATCTCCCTCCAGGATGTGATGAGGTACATCCAGTTATCCTCCTGCAAGGCGTGTTGCAGTTGATGGTGATGCTGATGCGGCACCCCTCGGTGGGCGGACCATGATTTGGACATCAGCCAAAAGTATCCTCTCATATTAGCTGGGGAAGAGGCCTTCAGGAGTTGTCTGATTCTATAGAGTGCCAAGGAATTCACGGAAGTGTGTGGTTAGTGAGCAGCTTCACCATCCACTTGGTCTGCAAACCTTTGGTCTGTGTGTCTGGGTTCAGAATTCCTAGACCTCCTTGCCCTTCGGTTGTGTGAGATACCCCCAAGCAACCTTGGGAATGAAACTCTGGGTAGAAGGATTACCAGTCCACAGATAAACTGTAGAACGTGTTTTGAGAGCCTTTGTCATTCTGGTTTCATTTGAACCAATTTATCATATCTTTCTTATCCCGTTTTTTTTTTCCTACCGTTTCTTGGGTCAATGGTGAGCTCTGACATGGCATAACTGCAGATCTAAACCACCACTACCTCCGATCCTGTTTTTGCCGAGCCTAAATTTCACTACGCCCGAGTTTTGCCGAAACTGGGTTCCAATGCATTTTCTTTCCTGGTACTCCGACGAAATGAACTAAGAAAAAAAAAAAAGAAAAAAAAGCAACTTGCCCATCCATGGAGCCACTTCAATACAGAATGTCGGGTACCAGTGAGAGTATGTCCTCAGTGAGGGCATTGTGGCAGCACGGTGATCACAGCACTACATTTCGGGGCAAAAAAAAAAAAATGGCAACAACACTACGGACGCGACAACGGTAAGATACAGAATATGGAGTTCAAGTGAGATTATGCCCTCCGTCTCAATGCGTCAGGAGTGTGTGTATAGCGCCATAGCTCGCTGGCAGGGCAACGAAAAGAAAACAAAGAAAAAACAAAACACAAAAAAACAAAAGCTGACTCTGGTAGTAGTTGTCGTTAGATTCGTTCCCGGGAGTACTAGGGCCTCGCCACACCACTCCCGACTTGGGAAAAATTTTGGGAGTGCTCCCGGAAGTGAAAACCCGCTCAGGAGTGCCTTTCGCCACACTACACTGTCGACCTGGCCACAAAGGAGGTCATTTGCCACATGTGGACACGACCAGTGTGAAGCAGTCTGCCAGAAGTCGTTTGTCCCGTCCAGCTCCACTCCCGAATCTGGGATGAAACTCGGAGGAGCGAAGGAGGTCTCTCGAAAAGGCAGCTTTGCAGGCAGTGAGTTCGGTAGTGCTCACTGCTCTCGGGAGCCACATTCTGACAGCACCCGAATTCAATCTGACAGGTTGAACTCAGGAGCTGGTGTGGCAATGCTGCACTCACGAAAATGGCCAGGCCCCTACTGTGAGCACACGTTTCACGGCCTTCCCCAACTAAGATTTGGACAGAATCTAGACTTCATGTGAGATTATGCCCTCCGTCTCAGTGTGTCAGGAGTGCGTGTATAGCGCCAACGAAAAGCAAACAAAACAAAACAAAAAAAAAACACAAAAAACAAAAGCTGAATCTGGCAGCAGTTCTAGTTAGATTCATCCCCGGGAGTACTGATTTGAGCATTTCTGTTTCCCAGCCTTCCCCGACGTCGTTCCTCCCAGTGCAGTTGCTTCCTTTTCTTTTTTTTTCCTTCTTTTGCCAGTGGGCCCACAAGGCCCAAACATTTCACTTTTGCTGAGCTTCGTCTCGACCCCCAACAAAAATGCGGTGTGACGTATATTCCTGTTTTTCCCAACAGTGAGCTTTTTTCAATTTTTTTGTGAAACATATTTTTTTGTGTGTGTGCTGTGACACATACTGTCTGTCTGCTCAGTGTTTCGACTTACAGTCCGCCTTGGTTTCAGTGCCTGTAGCCTTCATGTCGCCACGAAGTTCAGACTATGGGCCTCGCTGCACTACTCTCCAAATGTGCAAAATGAGATTGAATCCGCCGCGATAACATGGAAAGATGCATTGCCATCTTTCTTGGCTTTTGTGCATGTGGAGAGTAGTGCACCGAGGCCTTATATCATCTTCCCAAGCAGAGATGTCTGGCACGTAGTCGTTGAGGGGAACAGTGCATGTATCAAGGTATCAACAGAGGTATGGAGGAAGGAAAATTGAAGCTGAATTCAAATTTGGAGCAGAAAATTATGTAGAAGTGTTTAGTGAACCAAAAAAATGATTTTGCGGGTATATCAACGGAGTGCGAAAATAAACCACCACACCCATGGAGGGCCACATGAGGGGCTACTACCACCCTCCCTGAGGATAATGGGGCTTGAGATATCAGCTTCAAAGTTCAAAGTTCAAACAGACCGGCCTGAGGCAAAGTCAGAGATACTCTAGTCATTTGATTCCGCTGGGATTCGAACACAGGTCTGTATTTCGTCAGGTCATGGGTGTACCAGCTTTAAAGGTAGGGAGCCAATCACAAGGCAAAAAAAAGAAGGGAAGGGGGACTGGAGAGTAGGGTAGTAGAATGACGTACATTCGATTGGTCGCGGTTTGTGTCCAAGAAATAGATGATGAGGCAGAGCACACTGGCAACCATTAACAACACTGCAAAAAAGTCGGTGTAGGCGGCCAAGTACTTGATGAACCAATGTGTCACCTGTGGTGGGGTAATCCTGTTCTCCCCAAACTTCTTCTGATTTAAATCCACTTGCTCTGCTGTCAGTCCCTACCAATGCAATTCAATGAAGCGAGAGCATTCACACAGATGCAAATGATCGCACCAAACGAAAGCTAAGAAGTTTTCGGGTGAAGTACCGATGCAGTTGTAGGATCTCAATACAATATCTTTCCAGTCCTAGAGCAAAGGTCAAGCAAGGCTTGATGAGCTTGAACCACCAGTCCGTTTCTGAGCTATCTTGTTCCTATGTGACTGTTAACCTGCAGCAAAATCATGTATCGGCCCTATCGGGCCTATTGAATGGAAAGGCTGGCGGCACCTGGCGATTTTGCACCCACGGCGGTTCGGTTTTTAAAGGGTCGCACAGCCGAGCGCATCAGTAAAAGGAGCCTCAGACGGACAGGCAGTGTAAACCGCCAGTACGCGGGCCCAGCCTTGCAGAAAATGAACTCGTCCCCAACCACCGGAACTTTCAGGCTGCGCGCATCAGATAAAAGAGCCTCAGATGGACAGGCGGTGTCACCGCCAGTACACGGCCCCAGCCTTGCCGAAAATTAACTCGCCCCCACCACCGCAACTTTCAGGGCCGGGCGCATCAGAAAAAAGAGCCTCAGACGGACAGGAGTCTTTTGCATGCCCCAGGTTTCTACATACCTGGGGTTTTTACATGCCAGGGGTACCCCGGGCGGGCGGGCGGCCGGGCTACCGGCATGGGTGCCGGCCTGGATGCCCCTCTCGTAGCCTAGCTTCCAAGACTCAATGGTTTTTCACCTTCTTCCCAAACTCTTCAAAATGTTTTATCCGATGGACTTATGGTGAACGCACTGACACGGAGGGATGACCGAACTCCCATAAGCTTTAACAGAAAACAGCAGGATGCTCTCTTTGCACCGGGGTCCATGTGCCGGTGTCAAACCGCCAGTACCTTTCCCAGCTATTTTTTCAGAGTCGTGGCGCGTATACGCCAGTACCTTTTTCAGCAGTAAGTACCGGGACGTCGTTTCGCTGGATATCCATCCAGGCAAAATGGGTCACACGCTAGGCCCACTTTGCCTGGATGGATATCCAACAAAACGGCACGCCGGGGCCCGAAAGATGTGGCCGTATACGAGCCACATATTTGTTGCCCAAGGTACAGGTGGTTTAAGTAGAGGACGATAGGGTACTAAGCTCTACCGTCTACCCCCGAACATAACACACCCTCATCATGACTGTTCCAGACCGGAAAGATAGCTTGCATACATTCATAATCTGGGTGCATTACATTTGGGGGAAGATAGTTGTTCTCTCTTCACTTAGACCACCAGTTGTTCCCAGCCTCTTTTTCCCCGTGCGGATTTTCGCCGGGCCTTCTTACTGTTGCGATTTGACTGGCACCACGGGCATTATTGCTACGGGTGCTCCAGCCCTTTATCTAGCCCCATTTTTATGATTTTAACCAGTGGGCGTTTTCAGAGGCCGGGCCAACAACTGGTGCTTTATAGAGTGAAATAACTGGCCATGGTATTGCAAGCCACCCTCACACACAGCGAGGCAGATTTTTTGTTATTTTACTGCCACACATACCTCTGCCAACCCTATCCCCTGCCTAACGTCTTCACCTCCTAATAGAACGCCTGGTCACTATAGCTGTATCTAGTAGACTGAATGCTGCCCCAAATACAGCTGTAATGACCGGGCATTCTATTTGGGTTAAGATGGTAGTGGGACCTATCTCCAGGAGGGCGCAGAGAGCCTTGGCAATAAGGATTTCAAGATGCAGCCACTAATTCAGGCAGAATACTTTGACTGAACATTTTGGCATCTTCTGTTTTCTAAATATAGGCAATACTGGAAGTACTAGCGCAAATAAAGCCCAAGTGTACACTGTCACGCAGCGGGCAGAGGCATCGGTGGAAATAGCCCGTTCTGTACCCAGCCCGTGTGACTGAGGGCATACTCACACGAGGACCAAAAGACCCAAAATCCCAAAATTTGAGTCATTTTTCGGGTCACACTGGAGAGGTTCGCTACCCAAATGCTTCAAACGGTGACCCTTCTGTCAGCGGCCTGCGGGGCCGCAGGCGTACCCTTTTTGAGACCACCTCCGGAGGTGGTCTCAAATTACCTTTCGGTTTGTTTGTTTTTTTTCTTTTTTCGCGAATTGAAGAGAATCATAGACGAAGAAGACAGCCCGCCAAACAACTGAAAGTGCGACCAGGAACATTTACGTTGTAGATAAGGCCCAACGTTATACTAGCGTGATTTTTATTTTTTTTAACAATCCATCTTTTCATTTGGTCCTCCCCCGTGTGACCGGGCGCATTTGCCCTGAATGCAAAGTGTCAGGGTCACGACTTTGTCCTTTCTGGACGAGGTCCGCCCGTGTGACCACACGGGGACCAAATGCCTCAGAAAAGGTGAACCAAATGCCTCAATTTTTTGAGACTTTTGGTCCCCGTGTGAGTATGCCCTGAATGGTTCACACTGGTAACTGGTAACTGCTTAACCACCAGTCCATCAGACCCTTCTGCAGACCTCTGAAAGCATTTTTTGCGTGAATGAATTTAAGTGGCCGCAGCCGGCCCGTACATCCGCAAAAGATTGGTGGGTTAAACCACCAGTACTTGGCCCAGCTATGGGCCGCGGGCGTGTCCTGTTAACGCGCCGCATTTGAGGGGGGTCGTTCGCATGAACGGCCGGTCGCTGAGAATTGCGACGTACAAAAGAAAACCAAAAAAAAAAAAAAGAACTACTTTCTAAGTTGGGCGGGGGTCGTGGTCACGTCTGTTCTTGGTGGAATGCTTCTAACAAGTATTTCAGGTAGATTCTGGATGTCTATTTTTTCTGCTTTTGTTTTCTTTTCATTTTTCTTAGATTCCCCTGCCAGCGAGGCAGGGCATATCCGTGATCTACTGAACAGCCCTCGTTGAGGGCATACTCACACTTGCACACAGACAAATGTATCTAACTAATTTCAGGGCCAAATTCCTGTTTCGTTTTTTTTTTCTTCTTTGAGATTCATTTCTTTGTTTTTTTTTTCCTTATTTTACTTCTGGATTCTGACAGCAACGCCACGGGGCTGATACACCCAAACTGCGACGTGCTCACATTAGCACTCAGGAGAATGCATCCAACTGCATTCACATCCACAGCATTGTTGTTTGTTTGTTTTTTTTGCTGTTTTTTTTTTTCCAACTGCTCCCCCCAGCCTCGGCCCGTCCAGCTACTGGTACTGCCAGGCTTGGCAGGCCCGACATACCGGTCGCTGGAGGCTCGGACTTGATAGCTGGGCCAAGTACTGGTGGTTTAACTGGGCATTTTTCGCTCACCAAGCCGCTTTTCTCTGACTGTGGGGATGCCCTGCACGCCAAAAAACGAACCGGCACGAGCTGTTGATGAAAACCATCATCAGCCGCGAAGGCCCCAAAAATTGCGGCACATATACGACAAGAGCTCGTGGCCCATATATGGGCCAAGTACTGGTGGTTTAGGGCCTAGTTGCACTACTCGCCGTCCGGCACAATTCGTGGTGGATGGGTGGAGAGTGAAAACAAAGAGAATCGTGTCGAACTGAAGGCGTGGTTGCACATAGTCGCCACCAGGGTTGCCGGCGTTCGGGACGGGCCGAACACGCGAAAGCCCCAAAAATTGCGGCACATATACGACAAGACCTCGCGGCCAATATATGGGCCAAGTACTGGTGGTTTAGGGCCTAGTTGCACTACTCCCCATCCGGCACAATTCCTGGTGGATGGGTGGAGAGTGAAAACAAAGAGAATCGTGTCGAACTGAAGGCCTAGTTGCACATGGTCGCCACCAGGGTTGCCGGCGTTCGGGACGGGCCGAACACGCGAAGGCCCCAAAAATTGTGGCACATATACGACAAGACCTCGCGGCCGATATATGGGCCAAGTACTGGTGGTTTAGGGCCTAGTTGCACTACTCGCCATCGGGCACAACTCGTGGTGAATGGGTGGAGAGTGAAAACAAAGAGAATCGTGTCGAACTGAAGGCCTGGTTGCACATAGTCGCCACCAGGGTTGCCGGCGTTCGGGAGGGGCCGAACACGCGAAGGCCCCAAAAATTGTGGCACATATACGGCAAGAGCTCACGGCCGATATATGGGCCAAGTACTGGTGGTTTAGGGCCTAGTTGCACTACTCGCCATCCGGCACAATTCGTGGTGGATGGGTGGAGAGTGAAAACAAAGAGAATCGTGTCGAACTGAAGGCCGGGTTGCACATAGTCGCCACCAGGGTTGCCGGCGTTCGGAACAGGCCGAACACACGAAGGCCCCAAAAATTGCAGCACATATACGACAAGACCTCGCGGCCGATATATGGGCCAAGTACTGGAGGTTTAGGGCCTAGTTGCACTACTCGCCATCCGGCACAATTCGTGATGGATGGGTGGAGAGTGAAAACAAAAGAATCGTGTCGAACTGAAGGCCGGGTTGCACATAGTCGCCACCAGGGTTGCCGGCGTTCGGGACGGGCCGAACACCCGAACCCGAACGCCCGAACGTTCAGGACCCCCTCTCGACGCGTTCGGCTGTTCAGCCGAACACGGACCCAAAAAAAAAAAAAAAAAAACCAAAAATATGAAAAAAAAACAGTTATGCAGAAGAATAAACTAAACAACATTTGCATCAACGTTACATCCAAATTCTTTACCAAATTTGAAATAAATTTCAAATAAGACAAATAAATAATATTAATGAAAATAAGAAATAAAATAAAAAAAATAAACGAGAATGAAATTATCGAGTGGGTGAGCACGTTTTTGGCACCGCCATCTTTGGCGATTTTTCAGTTTTTTTTTGGCTTTGCAAATGCCATCAAATTTTATATATGTGTATCTTACATAATAGAGAACCTACAAATAAGGTTTGAAAAAATAATAATTTTTTTCATGCCCCGAAATAAAGGGAACAAAAAGTGAAAAGAGAAAAAAAACAAATTAGTGAGTGGGCAAGCAAGTTTTGACACCACCATCTTTGGCGATTTTTCATTATTTTTTGGCTTCACAGAATGCCTTCAAAATTAATAGGCAGGTAGCTTACATTACCAAGAACTCACCCAAAAAAAAATCAGAAAACAAAAATAATATTTAGGTACCAAATTTTGTTTTTGCGGGGTCCGAACGCCTTCGGGTTCAGGCCCCATACGGGGACCCGAACGCCCGAACGTTCGGGGGTCAGCTTAAGGGCCTTCGTACTTTCGGCCTGGCAACCCTGCTCGCCACAATATTTCTTCTACAGAAAAGTTAAAATTTTTTGTCTGCCTGATCTCGACTCGTGAAGCCGTGCACTCTCCAGAAAGTTGTTTTGTGGAGAGGTCCGAGGACCACCCTCCACAAACCGCCGTGCACAGGCGGGGAAACCGGAAACACTCGCCACAACTTGAGTCTACGGTGTGGCGAGCAGTCTGACATATTTTTCATTTGCCAAGTTTGGCGAGTAAGTTCAACCAGGCGCCTACTCGCCAAACCTGGCGTACGGAGAGTAGTGCAACCCGGTAGGTACTGGTGGTTTAAACCAGCGGTCTCACTGAAGATCAGATAAGCTAACTGTTATGGGACAAAGTTGACACGCACACCTTCCCGACGGACTGGTGCTTTAAAGTTTGAACCACCACCCCATGTGGCTGAATGGTAAACACAGGTAACTGTTAAGCCACCAGTCCATGAGAGTCATGATGAGACCCTTCTGAGAAGGTGTTTTTTTCATGAATGAATTTAAGTGGGCGCAGCGGGCCCGTACATCCACAAAAGGCTGGTGGGTTAACTGGCACACCTTGCTCACCGACGGGTGCTTTAAACCACCAGGCCCCCTAAAGATAAAAAATGGTCGGGGACTAAAGTAAGGTTGGGGGGTACCCCCTTCAAAAAGCCAAAAACACAAAAATAGCTCATCTGGATCGAACCCTGATTACTCCGATAGATACAATACGATTGGGATCATCGCAACCACGGACCTCGACACCATACAACTTCCAGACGAAAATATGGTCTGGACCAGTCCACACTGTCCGGTCATCCGAACACCACTGGACAACTCAACAACACCACGCCTGGATGGTCCGGACGACGTTCCGGGACCCTCAAAATGTCCGGGAAGAAAAGACAAAACAAAAAAAACCAAAAAAAAAAAAAAACACGGAAGAGGGTGCAGAGCAGGTGTTCGATAGCAGACACTCGTCTTGATTGATTGGCCGGATGATTGGTTGGCAGGTTGACAGAATCATTCAGCCAATCAATACATCAATCATTCAATCAATCAATCAATCAATCAATGAACCATTGGTAGATTGGTTTATTGATTGATTGATTGATTGATCGATCGCTTGATTGATTGATTGGTTGGTTGGTTGATTCATTCATTCATTCATTCATTCATTCATTCATTCCCATTAGCGGATAGATTACATAAGAGAAACGACAAGCACACAACCAATGCGGATAGATGTGCGAATAGCCAAAAAAAAAAAAAAGAAGAAGAAGTCGGAATAAATCTGAATAACATCATAAAAAAAAAAAAAAAAAACGACGGAGTTCACCACCATTCCACGGCAATCATCCCCGTCCTCGACATCCATCCTTCCCCTCCTTGACATCCCTCCATCACCGTCCTCAACATCCCCTGCCCACCCCCTCCTCACCCCTCGTTCTTGTCATCCTGTGAGTCCTTCCCTCCTGTTTGTCCACCTCGCCATCCCATCCTCCTCAACCTTCGATCCTGTCAGTCCTCACTCCTCCATGTCACTATCTCCCCCCTCTACACTGAGAAAGTTCGAACAACGAACGAGCGAGCGAGCGAGCGAGCGCGCGCGCGCGCGAGAGAGAGAGAGAGAGAGAGAACAAGTTACCCTCCTCCACCTCCTTGGGTGATTGTGAAGGGCGGCACAGGGCGGCGATGGCTCGCTTGGCAGAAGATGGTGCAGGGTGGAAGTGGCGGCGGGAGCTTCCAACGGGCGGGCAGGACTTCCAATAGCTGCCAATTTAAACTGGCCTTTCCTCCCTCCAGGCTTTCGAGTTCACACAGCAACTGGGCTGTGTGTTGGGCGTGTGCGGTAGCCCCGAACGGGACCAAATCATGCCCCTCATAGTTTTCTGGGGCCTCCAGGACCCGAAAAAATGTCCTGGGCGGCCACCGTTTTTTTCCAAATTTTTGGTTCGCGGGGGGTGGAGTGGGGAGGCTTCACGACGTCAAGGACCAGACACCGGACCCAAACAAAATCATCCAGACCCCATGCCAGTCCGGACGTACGGTAGATCACCATGGTTGGGAGCCTTGGGGCCCACCCCCTTTTCGAAAAAAAACTTTAAAAAGTGCATTATGTGTCTGGCAGACTTGTTAACTTTTCCGCATGTCTTGTGGCACCCCCTTCAAAAAGCAAAAATTGCCAAAAATGCCAAAATGCCTCATTCAAATCCTGACCATGAGTTTGAACCCCGATCACTCAGATGGATACAAGGAGGTGGCTAACCTTTTATCCCAAAAAAGTGCAAAACTAGCGCATTCTGTGTGTTGCAGACTTGTTACCTTTTCTGGATCTGTCTTGTAGTACTGACACAGTTTCTCTGTCGTCCATGTGTGCTCAACCTGACAATGTCGAAGTCAATCCACCAAAGAACATTTTAATACCTCTGTTTTTATTTTAATTAAAAAAAGAAGGAAAAAATTGAAACATGTCTGAGTTCATGTGTGTCATATTTTCCTTCCTCTTTTATTTCCAACCCTTGTTCTTTCATCCCCCTTTCCTTTCATACAAATTGAGGAGAGGATCTGATCTAGCTACCATCTTCCCCCGAACATAACGCATATGCGTTGCATTCAAGTTTTTTAATTTGAAAAAAAAAAAATGAATAGAACGTAGATGCGTTGTATTCAAAATTGAGCGTTATTCGAATAGAACGCATATGTGTTGTATTCGAATAGAGCGAACCCCTATGCGTTGTATTCGTTTACAACGCATATGCGTTATGTTTGGGGGAAGAAGGTAGGGTTTAGGGTTTAGGGTTTAGGGTTTAAGGGCGTGAAGAGCAAGCAAGGAGGTGGCAAGGTCGGTAACGTCGACTATTTAATAATTTAACTACCTAGTAGTCTAAGAGAACAGAAAGATTTTAACAAACCAGCAGGGGTAGACCACCCTAAATGGTAGACTCGACCCCTTCAAACATAAGGAATGGCAGTTTTGAGTAGGCTACTTGAGGTTTGCATGTCTGTTGAGCTTCAGGAGGTTTCTGGAATAAGTGGCTAACAGGGGGGACAGAGACCCCCACAGGAGTTCGACTCGTGCCCTTATGCACTAGGGTTGGTAGCTTAGGGTAGGCTACTTGGGATTGGCATTGCTTTGAGCTTCCAGTTTTTTTGGAACATCTGGCTGGAGAAGCCTCTCCAAAAAGTTAGGGGCCAGGGCTCGGGACAGGGCCCGCCTCGTGGGGAGGGGAATTTTGTTTTTTTTTGGTCAGGGCTGGGCCTAGTGCCACCCCCCCACGGCATGGGACCATTTTTTTTCCTTCTACTAGGCACTTCAGGATCCCTGTTCCGAGCCTCCGAAATTTTAAGGAGAGGCTCAATCAGAGCATTCTCAACTTGGATGCGGCCAAGTGTGACGTTAAGGCACACGGGGATGTAGGTAGCTCGTGCTGAACCACAATCGACGTGGCCAGCCTTTTGTACATGAGAGGCATAATAGTAAATAAAAGGGGAGCTGCAAGAATAAATGAAAGGGGTACCCCAAAGAAATCCAAAGTAAACACAATTAAGAAAGGGATTTCAAATTTTTAAATGGATCTTTGTGTTCCATGTTGCTTGCTCTAGAGGTAAAACTGTTTCATTGTTGAATTTGAGTTTTCTGAAATCAAGTGTTTTCGTCGTCTGCCATCGGACTAAAGCTGCTTCGCTTTTGGATCTACTCACCTGGGTGGAATAGGGCTGTTGTGGTGAAAATCCAAAACACACACACACACACACACACACACACACACACACACACACACGCACACATGCACACACACACTGCCTCACCCACTCAGGTGATGTCTCCCATCTTTTTTTTTTTTTTTTTTNTTTTTTTTTTTTTTTTTTTTTTTTTTTTTGTAGGTGATGTCTCCCATCTAAATTGATCTAACCTATCAATCAAATACAGTTGTACTGAGTGTGCGTTCTATTCGGGCGAAGACGCCTCCTACAATGGCAAAAAGGAAGCAAAGAGAAAACAAGGGGACTTACAATTTGAATATCCTGTTGTATAGCTGCTTTCACCTTCTCCCTCATGATCTGCCCGACTGTTTTCCGCAAGCCAAAGAACTCTGCTGTCTTGACGATGACACTTCTTCTCTTCTTCATCTCTCTTGCTTGTCTGTCCAACAGCTCCATCTTTTCCAGCAATGCCTGCTTCGACCCACCCAGCAGCGAGAGCCTCGGCCCAAAAGGAGGGGGAGTACTTGGAGCGTCGTCCATGGACGATTGACCATGGAGCCATGATGAAACCTTTGCGACACTGGACTGAAGAGAAAACTTAAACAATTGCCATCCGTGTACGATTGGCGAACTTCCACCGGCGAGGTTGCTGCTGCTGCTGCTCCTGTCCATGTCATCCCTTTGCGACTGGGAGGCACCAGCCTCTGCATTCTGGCCTTCTTCTGTCGTCGCCACTGCTTCTTCATTCTGGTCTTCCGTCGTTGGCGCGGCTTCTGCATTCTGGCCTTCCGTCGTTGGCACTGCTTTACCATGCCCCGTGTCAACTCGTACCTTTTTACCAGATCGGCCAAGACCTGCAGAACGACTCACACCGCTTCTCGAACCCTCTCCCCCCAACGCTTTGCCTTTCTTTTGCGCCAGTGTCGGAATTTCAATCGCGACGCTCTCCACCTCGGTGCTGCCAGAAGATGCAGGAGGAACCGGTGTTGTGCCTTGACTTTGCAGCGTCGGGATCTCGATGGCAATGCTCTGCACCTGACCCCCTCCTGCTGTTCCATCACCTCCGCCACCATCGCCCTCGGAATTCTTATCGACATGTGCAACGTCGGGGTAAGTCTTCCCACCCCCGCCATTGTCCATTATTCACGCTGAAACGTCCCAAGGTCCCAAGGTGAAAAAATGTCCCACGGAAAATGTCCCAAGGTCAGAATGACCCAACCCAAGCACCAGCTCCTTCCCAGAACACCAACGGCGATCCAAATCTGAAACGTGCACTAAAAGTTGGCTGCTTCACAGAACCTCACTTCCCTTTGCTCCTGGATGATCATTCTCCTTTTCTCTTCTTCTTCGAAGTTCTTTCCCAAGATAATTCAGAATAATTTTATTATATTCAACTGGTTGCAGCTGGATTCGAAACTTGGGTCTGCATGCCAACAGTTCATGTGTAGGTAGTAGGTACCAATTGCGCTAGGCCCACCAGTATGGTTATTTATTCTCTCCTCCCCAGCGGAAGACCTGCATTACACCAGCATCGGGTCAGGGGAGAAAGAATTTCTCCTAGATTGCACCAAACAGATGTCTGCAATGCATTTTCAGAAATGTCCTTCAGTGTCATTCTCTCATTTACTCTTACGACAGACCCATGTTGATGTCAACGTTTATCTCCTTCAGTGCCATTCTCTCATTTACTCTTACGACGGGCCTCTTCAAAATACTACTACTACTACCACACACACACACACACACACACACACACACACACAGAGAGAGAGAGAGAGAGAGAGAGAGAGAGCTGTCTCTTATACACATCTAGAAAATATGGTCTGGACCAGTCCACACTGTCCGG